GGGGGGTGGTGCGGGGGCAGGCCCCCCCCGCCATTGATGACCGTTCCCGGCCCTGCGGGGGCCGGGAGGGAGAGAGCACGGGCTGAGTGGTTTGTGGCCCCTCTTTTTTCCTTGGTTCCAAAAGCAGGGGGTGCTGCTGGCGAGGGGCGCTTCCCGGCCGGACGCGTAGAGTCTCGGCTGCTTCCTCCGTCCCAGAACGAGCAAGCAGTACTTGGTTTCTCACAGGTCCCTCGGTGGATTTTCGGTAGCAGTGACCGCACGGGCTGCCAGGCAGGTTTAGATTTTGATGCCCGAGGGGCCGAGGTTAGTTGTTCAGTGAAAAGAAATGCTTTGAAAGTTTGTTAGTACCTGGGTGCGCAAGTTAGGCAGGGGTATTCTCGAGCCATCTCTTGTGTAGGGTGAGGTGACGTGGTGAGTGCTGTGGAGTTGTTTCTGATGAACACTTCATGCGAGAGTGACGAGGGGCTGGGGAGAAACTGCTCAGGATTCGCCTTTCGTGACCTGTTGCAGAAGTCTGTGTCACTCAGGCTAGATCTGGAGCATGGTAAAGCTTTGACCAGGGTCCAGATGGGGGTTAGGGAGAAACCGCTTGATAATGTGCTCTTTATGCTGTGCAGTGCCACGGAAGATGGGGTACCCTGTGGCCTCAGGATCCAGCCGGATGTATCTGCTGGGGTCTGGGGCTGGGAGAAACTGATCGGTATTGTGCTGACACTATGGTGTGGAAGTCCTTGGTGCTCAGGCTGGATCCAGAGATATAAAGGATAGTGTTAATGACAATGGTATTTTGTGGGGTGGTTCTACTTGGTACATGAGAGCGTGCCTGAAAGTGTTGGGCCTTGGTAGCCCCTGGAAGCCAATGCAACCCATTCAGAGCACCCGGCAAGAGTCGTGCAGTGCTGCCTGGTGTTGGCGCCTGGGCCTCTTCTCCTCTGGTAGCATGAGGCAGAGGGAGCACGGACTGAGATGGTCGTCTCTTCTGTTGTGTCACGAGAACTGCAATGGCCCAGGCTCGGGTGAGTGTAGCCCCAGTGCGGGACGTTTTGCTTGCGGAGCCCTGGCTCTGCGGACCCGTACTTGCGTGGGGGGAGGACGGGGCAGCGGTCGCCGGGGGCAGCGGGAGGCCGCGGGCCGGGCCGAGCGGCCT